AGTCAATTGTCGTGGTGCCCTGTGACCAGTGGGGTTCCTCAAGGTTCTGTCCTTGGACCTATATTGTTCAACATCTTCATCAATGATGTGAACATTGGAGTCAGAAGCGGACTGGCCAATTTCACCGATGAAACCAAACTTTGGGGTAAAGCGTCCACACTGGAGGACAGGAGGGGGATCCAGGATGACCTTGACAGGCTCAGGAAATGGGTGGATGAGAACTTGCTGGTGTTTAACAATGAAAAATGCAAGGTTGTCCACCTTGGGAGAAAAAAACCTGCAGCATCCTTATAGGCTCAGCAGTTCTACACTGGCTAGCACTACAGAAGAAAGAGACTTGGGGGTCATCATTGACCACAAGATGAACATAAGCCATCAATGCAATGCTGCAGCTAGTAAAGCAACCAAAACACTGGCTTGCATCCGTAGATACTTCTCAAGCAAATCCCGGGATGTCATTCTACCCTTGTACTTGGCCTTGGTGAGGCCGCAGCTGGAGTACTGCATCCAATTTTGGGCCCCACAATTCAAAAAGGATGTGGAAAAGCTTGAGAGAGTCCAGAGAAGAGCCACGCACATGATCAGAGGTCAGGAAAACAGACCTTACGATGACAGGCTGAGAGCTATGGGACTCTTTAGCCTGGAAAAGCGCAGGCTCAGGGGTGATCTGAGGGCCACCTATAAGTTTATCAGGGGTGACCACCAGTATCTGGGGGAACGTTTGTTCACCAGAGGACCCCAAGGGATGACGAGGTCGAACGGTTATAAACTACTGCAAGAGCGTTTCAGCCTGGACATAAGGAAGAATTTCTTTACTGTCCGAGCCCCCAAGGTCTGGAATAGCCTGCCATTGAAGGTGGTTCAAGCACCTACACTGAACACCTTCAAGAGACAATTGGATGCTTATCTTGCTGGGATCCTATGACCCCAGCTGACTTCCTGCCCTTCGGGCAGGGGGCTGGACTTGATGATCTTCTGAGGGCCCTTCCAGCCCTAATGTCTATGAAATCTATTCCCAGGGCCTCCCAGTGCATTTGGTGTTACCACTCTTATCTTACCATAAGATATTTGGGACAGGTCTCATATCATCTCTGTGTCTGCATGTAACAGATAGAAATTAAAATTTTATTTTGTGTTCACATAGGTCTGTTTCAGTGCTGACAACACATATGGAGAATATAGATATATCAAAATGATGTTTCTGAAATTATCCTGGAGGAAGCAGAAAAGAATGGCCAAATGAGTCATTCATAGGTATAGCTAGGGCAACATAAATCTTTACGAAGGGGCCTAGTAGGTAATGTATCCTCATTCTTGGAAATTAAGAGATGTAATACATTCTTTTTTCAGTGTAAATCAGGAACTAAAAGCAATTTATTGCACTTCTCTTTTGCCAAGGTATAGCAGTACCATTTCCCCAAACACCCATAATAAAACTCTACAATGTATAATTTATCCATAGCCTGAATCAGCCAAGAAATGGGGAAAGCCAACTGTATTTATCTGAGAACAAAACTATTCAGTAAATGAAAAAGTCTTTTAGACATTAGTAAATTAAAAGGCCAGTGTTCTTTTGTCTCTGTTAAATGAAAGTGTACACTTTCCCTTTTTTCCTGTGTATAACACTAGTTATTCATGGTAGTGGTATATGACTGAAAACTTACTTTCTACACATTTATTTACTTCAGCGTAGGTGCCATATTTCTAATCATTTTGTCATGTTGCTTAACAACCCAGTAACTCTCTTGTGTGACATAGCATAAGACATGGCTTCTTTTAAAACTCAGTGCAAGTTTGGGAAGAAAACAAAACAAAACAAAACAAACTTTTTATCTTCTGTATCTGATTACAGTCTTTCCTTTGCCATTTTTAGCTTTAACTCTGAAACTTACTTAAATGGAATGCAAGAGTTTATCACTTTATTTTGTATCTCTTTGTGTATTTTCTGCTATTATTACACTGTTCTAATGATAAATTATCTGGCAGATGACTAGAAAACCATAATCCATCACTCTTTATTTACCACTCCATCTTTCTAGTGGCACTGGCTGTCTTAAGTGTCTGAAGCCTGTGCAACAAGGCTCTTGGGGCACGTTCTGGTTATGTTGGTTCTTGTTAGGAAGAGAAAATACCATGAAAACACCTTTCTATTCAATCATGCCCATAGTGTGCCCCAAGTCATGAACAAATGTAACATAGCCACTCTAATGAGGTGGGCAGTCCCAAGGCTAGAGTTGGAGTAGCACTGGGTGCATCGTGGGCATGTGCCAGGAAGTGGTTACATTGCCTTTTTTTGACATGTAGTGAGTCATTGTATTTTCACAGTGGTGCTGCATAGTGTGGTCCATGAAATTTGCTGTTGGATCCAAATCACATATGAGGGAGTGTTCTACATTAGTGTAAAATAAGAATATAATTTTTAGTTTTGCTGTATTTGTAAAAGCAATGCGGAACAGTTATTTTCCTTTCCCACACTAACACTGAATACCATTGTACATACAAGTGGACATTTTTGATCAAATGTAAGCAAAACAAAAGAAAATTATCTTTGCCTACTGGAATATATAGCACAATATCATAATATAGTAACCTTTTGAAGTGGAGTTTCAGTGGAGGACAAGAACCATACATACTCAATGAATAGTCACACTCAGTACTAACTTGGGAGTTAGTATTACAGTTTTGAATAGCAATGAGATTTATTAAAATGTAAGGATATGAAGACTATGTCTACAAGGTCATATAGTTGTTCCCATGTCAGGGTATATAAGTATCATTAGCACAATGAAAAAGTTAATACAACAATGTTAGCTCAGAGTCCTCTTATATGAATAAACTTTCTCGGGCTACTATTTCAAGAGCCTTATTCACAGAAACAATATGTAATAGTAAACTGATACAGAAAACAGGAATGTCACATATAGACTATGCAGGGATGTCTTTTGGAGAAATCAAATATTAGTCAGCTCATATGGCAATACAGACCTATGTAAAATGATATTAAAACAAGGCATTTCTGACTCAAGCAGTAGTCAAAATGACACAGGAATATAACTGCCTGTTATAAGATGTGAGGAAATGTATATGTATTAATGTATGTCCAAACTAAAAGCAGATCCGTAGGATTTCCTTCAAGTACAATATATATTGCTAAATTCAGCACCCACATTTCATTTTACAAGAATCTTCCATCTAATTCTTCTTTAAAAATAACAGATTAACTTTAAAATCTCTGGTCTTTCTAAAAGAAAGGAAATGCTTCTTTTATCTTTGATGACAAAAGGCCAAGCTGTGCCCTTGGATATTGGATATCTTTGCCCGTTTGATTTGCCATTTGTTTCAGAGAACAAACTAAACTACCCAGCTTTAAAACTAGCAGATGCTTATAAACATTAGGGTAAAAAAGTTGACATAAATTCTTGCAAGTAAATATACATACATCTAAGCTACAAACAAACTTTGCATTAGTCCCTGGAGAAGCCATTTTATCCTGGGGCAAAGTGTAATTGTTCAGTCATCCGAGTCTATAGTCCTGGGGCAACCCCTAGAAAGATTCCCAGGGAAAAAAAGTGTTACCAGTTTGTCCTGAAATATCACAACGTGGGTGCATCTATACATGAAATGATTTTGATGCAGTAAACTCTGGCACAGTTAGTGCTGAAATTGATTGCTCCTAGGTGCAGCATTTGTACGTGCACCCAGGACCACAGTACATTGAGCTGGGGCAGAGCAACCCTGGCTGGCATCATGCCCTGGGGGTTAGCCTGCCAGTCTGGTGCTGCTCTGACTTAGCTCAACATGCTGTGGAGGGGCTGGCTGTGGTACGAGGGTGGTCCACTGTCCAGTTAGCTGACAGACATCCCTGCACTGAAGCACCCTCATGCCCCAGCTGCCCTGGTCAGCATCTATACATGTGTTGCAGCAGAGTAAATAACTCCGGCTTAGAATAGTACTTGTGTTGGGCAGTACTGTCCTACAGTGTAGTTAGTAATTAGTGTACTCTGGCCTAATAGCTTCACATGTTTAGATGCTTATGCTTTACTACGAAGCTAATTAGTAATCTCTGAGATCATTTTCGGGTCATTTTTACTCTACTGCGCAGTAGCACCGACCTACTGCACAGTAGCAACAGCATCATGGTTAGTACCTGCCAATGCTACGTTGCCGTAGTGACAAGCCGCATCACCTTGTTGCTATGGTGACGTAGTGTCTTGTGTAGACACACCCAGTATGTATGAATGGTTGTCCCAGGATTCCCTCACTTAATGGTAGAAAAGCAGCTGTGCATTCAGATTCTCACTAAAACCTGATTGGAAGGGCGATGCATACACAGCTATCTCAGGAATTCTTTTGTTTCAGGACAGGCACAGGCACAACTGGTCCCAGGACAAATGCAAGCTCTGTACCTGGCCTTATGGATACATCTACAACAGAATAGGTATTTAGCTGCCTAAGGCAGCTTTTTCATGGGAAAACTGCGATAGCATTAGAAATTAGCATTAGCACAGGTGGCTTTCCAGCATATGATAGAATGATATTATGTATCATTCTAATCAGTGTTTCTTTTCTCTTGAGCAAAAATTTTATTTCCTGCAGTATTAAAGCAAATTGTGCTCTTCCTTCTGTTGCTAAGTATTAATGATGCTTTCTCTTAGAATAAAAAGTGAAATAAAAAAGAAGTTGAATTTCATAATGCTGACTTTATTTACAGTAAATTTCAAGTAATTTCAGAATAGAGAAATCACCAAGACTTATGACCCATGTAATTTAAATGTAAGGTACATTTTTGTCACCTGATTAACCCCACATCCACTTAGAGAATGAACCAATGCCAAAGCATTCTAGTTAATCCTGGCCTTTGCTTCACCATGTTGTTTGTTGAAATGATGGAGTTTTGTAGTTAGTTTTTAACCATACATTATTTTCAAATGGGTTGCACAATCATTCTTGATTTGCTAGCTTGGCTTGCTTAAAAACTTTCTTTTTTCCCCCAATTCTAGGAAGGATTTCTGTGTACATAAAGATGAACCATGTGATACTGTTGGTAAGTAAATGCATATAAAAAAACCATAGTAAGATGTATACAATCTGCATAAGTCAGCATTATATGAATACATATGTAAAGCTTAGTGAATACCTCAGTGTCTATGGATGCATATTTATAACTAGTTCGAATGCAAAAGCTATTTAAAATGGCAGTAATAAACTGCCTGAATTTATGCCCATTATTAACAAAATAATATAAACATGTGAAAATGTTTTGAAAATATTCATTTTAATAAATCTTTCATTGCAGTTATTTTAATGCCACCCTTGTAACGCATTAACACTGAATTTTTAAATGCTTTGAAGTATTTGAATTAAGAATAAGATAAACAAAATGTGTATATAATTTATTTAAGATATTTCAGATTTCTTTTTCATCAGAATATGGATGCTTTTTACTGCAGGGGTATGCTTAGTTCAGCATCTTTTGATTTTGGTTTTGCTAGATTCTGTATACCAGAAAGATGATTTGGGGTTTAGATTAGATCATGAGCAACTGTTTGATAAAAGGTAAGCAAAAGAAGTTTGATCTTTCAATAAATCATCATACAGTATGTTTATAGGCAAAGAGAGACGATGCATTCCAGGAGTGGTTAACAAGCTATAAATTATAGTATTTGCCAAACGAAGTAGATGAAATATGCTAATGTAATATCAACTGAAAAATTCACAGCTGCACCAGGTTGAAGGGGGAAAAAAAACCATGAACACACTAATACTGATACTCGTCTACGGTCGCCAGGAGAGCAATAAGTCAGTTTGTGCAAAGACTGATGAATTTGTACATGTTACTCCTCCTACATGATGCTTACAAGGTGTTCTTTCCAGCATATTACACAATCCAGAAACAGAGGACATATGAAAGGAACACTGAAGGATGGATTGTGTTATTGGGAGGTTTTGTCATGTTAAATTATAATTCTCCTCAGTGATGGTACTAAACCATCACCAGGTTTGGTGTTTATTCATTAAATGCCAAGAATACACAAGATGTTTTAAGATTGGACATGACTACCCATCTTAAATAAATCAATGTGTGCCAGGATTGTGTTTTTTAAATTTGCATGTATTTGTGTGGCAACAAAAACAAATTTCTAGGTAACTCATATTTTGCTCTACTCAAAAGTGATTTCTCAGTAAATATATTATTTTATTTTAGAAAAGCTGAGTGTTTTACAATTATTTGTGTGATAATTTTATGATTTAAGGTGAACATTAACCAAGAGCTCTGTTTACACAAGAAAAAAAGGTTTACTCCAAATCAAAAACAGGTGTTGTCAGACCCCTGAAAGATTTAATTTCACTCCTGATTCAGGAACAAAATACATGGTACAAATGACTCAACTATTGCTTTCATGAGGGCCTTGAATGTTATATACATCACTAGGTGAAAGCATATGTGAGTATGGGAAAAACTGCAATTTTATTCATATTTCAAGAAATCATTTTAGCAGGTTTATGTGGTTTAAAATCTGAGTTTTTAGGTCTTACTCAGAAAAAAAAGAGAAAGAAAAAGAACTTTACAAATCTTAATCAACCAAAAATATGTTAATACTTTTATTTTACAGCAAGACGAGTATTTTGGAAAGATATTTAATTTCCAAAAATGTTTTGGATTTTAGAATGCAGATTTTTTCTTCTGTTTTTCAAGCTTCTGTTATGTACTGTGGTATAGGTATAAAAGTTTGGAAAACTCTGCTATAGTAGGGTTTTGGCTTAGGTTCTCATTTCATGTTGTATAAATCCAAAGGAACATCAGTCCCTTTCTTCCTTAACTGATTTCACTTTCCAATAAAAAAATATAGCCTTGTGTGTTGTAAATCAGTATAGGTCCTTTGGATTTGGTGGAACTCTCTTAATTTTAATTGTTGCCAACTTTCACAGGCTTGGTAGAACACATCCTTGCTTGACACTTACCGTGCTGTGTGTCTGGATCCAAATTCATTAGGCGCGTGTGCTCTTAAATGTCCCCTAGTTTTGACTGGCTGTAATACTCTCCCTTCTGCTGGCTTCCATGGCCCTCTTCCTAGGCACAGGCTCTTTGTCCATTGTCCACAGAAGGACCAGTGTTGATCCCCATGACTTATTTTAGAAGTTTAAGCACAACCTTTTGGGAACATAGTTCACTCTTCAGGAACACACATGACAATCGAAAGCAAACATTCACTGAGCTTTGTAAAGGGTCTTACATATGAGGTCTTGTGATCTTTGATGTCTTTGCTAATGCACCACCTAATAGAAACAAATGATTGCATGAGAAGGTTAACTTCAACTATTAAAAAAATGAAGGTTTACTCCTAACAGTGGTAGAGAGAAACTTGAAAACCTGTACATGTGTGTACTGCAAGGACTTGGAAACCATGAAAATAAACGAACCCACTACTTAGGCTAGTCTCCTGTGTTTTGGATACAACATTACAAACTGAAAACGCACTTGGAGGTTATGTGAGCAGGTAGTGTTAAAAAAAACTGAGAGAGAAAAAAATCAGTTTTCCCCCTCAAATGTTTGTTTTGACCATTTCAAGGATTATTGATTACAATAAAAAACTATACATTTTGAGATGTAAATTAAGTTGTTTGTGTTCCTAATAGAGCAACATTGTCATTCTGTCACTTTCACCTGAAAATTGAATTTGTCCCCTTCCAATAAGAGTGGGTAGAACAGATTGTTTTTTCATGGACTTCTTGATCCTAAATTTGGATTCTACAGATGGTCTTTTGTATTCTTTGCATGTATTATCCTAGTCTTTACCTCTCCTTGGTCTTGCGGATGGGATGAGTAGTGTATGTATGTGAGCAAAAGCTTGCCTTTTCTGTGGCCTGGTTATTCCTTCTACTATTGTCTTCATTCTCCAGGGTTCCTTGGAAGAACAAGAAGGGCACAAGAGGATTTTAGATTAGAAGGGCATCCTTTCTCTTCATGGATCAACAATTTATTTTCTCCTCTTTGGCCCAAAGTGGGAAAATAAAAGCAAGCAAGCTGCCTGAGATTTTAATACTTTCTTTCTGTATCAGGCTTTTAAATGTACAAAAATAAATCCACCTAACAGAGGGAAGTGCTAGGTTTTTGCTAGTACTGCTAGTATCGTTTTAACTAATATTAACCATTATTTTTGGCTATTAATTATCCAACATAAAAGGCATAAATGGCACAATTGCTTGAGATTGAATCAATGACATACAGAAGCAAAGAAAGAACCAAGATCAAAGACTAAACCAATGACAGGCTTAGCAAAGGAACCCAGAACTCTCTCAGTTCCTAGGCCCCTGTGTTTAATCTGTTAGACCAGGTGTGTCTCCAGCATGTAAGATATGCCACTTAGCTAAGCAAGAACAAAATGTTGTTGCACTGAGTATTCCTTTCATATAAACCTCATACCACATAAGTGGTAAGTACTCAAAGACCAGTGAAAACATAAATATACTGACTAGGAATTTGGCTTGTTCCAAATGTGACAGGAAACAAATTTATTGTTCAGTGAAATTAAGATTTTGTAGTAAATCTGACTTTATACCATAAATACCTCCCATTTGCAGGTTGCTGTTTTAGTAGTTAGTAATGCCATATTTTCATTTTATAGTAAATTATTTGTTGCATTCCTTGGAGGCAGTCCTTTTTTTCTCTCCCAAAAGTGTATTGAAGATTGAACATTTCAAACATCAGTTGTTTGGCACCTGAATCTTATTGCTGTACTACATACTACAGTGATTCTTTAAGTCATATGTCCTCTCATCCCTTGTCAAAAACCCACAGGTGTACAACACATGTGCTACATAAAATCTTGTGATTGCAGTTAATGTTTTTGAAAGATTTATGGCAGCTAGTAAAATGGCCTAGTAACACTGATTGTTTTAAAGTACAAAAAAACCCTAAACAACAACACATAACCTATTATTTTTAGCTCACTTAAGGCCTTTCTTCCAAATCATTGACATAATTCTTGAACTTTTGTAGTGTAATTATCTCTGGATCTATAGAACAAATTAAAAATGATCTATTATGTTGAAATTCAGAGTCATTTTATAGGAAACTTTTGCTTGAGATAGACTGACCTCAGAAGTTTATCATTTCAGCAGTAACTTCTTACTGCAGCAGAGGGAGATATTTTTTATATAAACTTTAAGTCAAAGCACCTGTGCGATGGTACACAAACACATTTACTCTGAAACTGGTATAATTTTTTTGCAATCTCTCAGCTTCAGTTGAGTTCACTAAGTAACAAAATGTTTGAGGACCAGCAAATGAAACTTTCCCGATGCTTTACAAAAGACAGAGCGTCCAATGTTTTACTGATCTCAGAGGAGCATACGTGCAGTATTCTGGTACTTGTGGGTCTCTTTGAGAGGAGGTAATTAAATAGATGTTCCTGCCAAAAAACATTTCATTGCTGTGCAATTTTATTCTTTTTCAGCATTATTGTCTTACATGACATTGTATATTTTTAAAACAGAACAATACTTACTATTAGGTTTAGTAGCTTAATGTATACTTGTTTCATTTATTGAAACACGAACTATAAAAACATTGTTTCCTGAATGAATGTCTTTATCTTTAACTTGTTTGCTTGTATAGTGTTTCTGTGAAAATACCAAAATCACTATGCACAGGCAGCACAAGAATTGATGACTTTAAAGAAGTACCTACAATCTCTTGATGCCTTATAGGAATATGTTTCAAATTATTGTCTTTTAAAGCATTTTAACTTAATATCACTGAGTGCTGCAAATTAATAACAGAATATTCTAAGAGCTCTTGATTCAGCCTTGCCTACTAATGGATATAAACTAACATATTAGATATGAATAGCACCTATTAAAGATTCAGAAAAAGCCTACAAAATAAACATTTCCAAGCAAACTAAAACATACAAAAATGCTTTATTTTAATCTATTAAATGCTCATCAATGGGTTTTCTGTAACTATTTGGTAAGAATTGGATCAAAGTTATAAATCCTAAATAGCAAATATGTTTCCTTTTGTTCCATTGGGCAAGCAGA